CTGGGCCTTCCCTGCAGGTTCCCCTCCAGCCACAGGTTGGCATCCTCAGTGGCCTGAAGCTCATCCTCCAGCTCCTCCAGCTGGGTCTTCACCTCTCCCACCTGCTGCTCCAGGGCCTGCTTTGACTTCTTCCGCTCACGCACCTGCCACTGAGGGAAACCGAGTCAGGAGCAGAGGGACAAGAGCTCCCCGAGGACCCTGCCTCAGTGTCCACTCCCCCACTAAGCCTCCATGCTGGCCCTCCCGGTACTCACACTCATGCCTACGTTGTCCTTGGACCTGACCATCTCCTCTATCTTCTTGCAGACCAGATTGCTGCGCCGCCCCAGCTCTGCCCTCTGTACAATGTTGTGTATGTGGCTGAGTTCCCTCAGCCAACCCTCCAGCTCCTGGGCCTCCTGCCTGCACTCTTCAGCTGACTGTGTCTTTTGCCCCTTATGCAAGCGCCTCGACTCCTGCACAAGGCTGAAGGTGTCCTTCACTAAGGATACACCAGAAGTGGCTATATCTCCCATCCTGGCTTCCTTGGTCATGGCCAGAGCAGTGCCTCCAAAAGCTTGCTGCAGCTGTGTGCTGCTTTCGTCTGAGGTTGCCCCCGTGCGCAGGAATCTCTTGGCCTCGGCTGCTAAGTGGGGTTTGGTCCGGGCTACCTTGCAGGCTTCGGCATTGTTCACAATGTCTTGCAGGGACTGGAAGCACTTCTTTGCTAAGACATCAGCTTGGGGTTTCCTGTGACGTACAACGTCCTCAAACACCTTCCATTTGTTGCTGCCAGTTGACCCTAGGCTCCTGATTTCTGCTTCTGCTGATTCGTGGTTAAAGTCTTGCACCAATCTGGCTAACTCACTGGTCACAGCAGCTGCTGCCCCCAGTCCCTTCCCAGTTGCCGAGAGCACCAGACTAGCCTCTGCGTTCACAGATGCCAGAGACTGGCCAACGATGGTCAGAATGTCAGACACAACGCCGGTGGTAGAGGCCGCCACGTGGGTGATGTTGCAGTCCCTGTGCACCTTGTCAAAACCATATGCAAGTGCATAGAGTTTTCCTATGCGTTTCTCAAGGTCCTGTTTCACCTGAGGAAACTCCTTCATAAACCTCTCCCTGTGCAGCCGGTCCAAGGCCCCGAGTCTTCCCAGCTGGCTCAAGTCTTCATAGAGCGCATCTGCCTTATCCCTGCAATCATGAAGGACAGTTGATTAACCAAGGCAGTTTGCTTTTCCGTAAAATGGGCCCAATAAGATCCATGTTACATAATCACAGAGCTTGGACTCTAAGTCAAATAGAAAAGAATTTTACAAATCTAAGGAATTTTTCTTTCAATGTTAACACATATTCTGTATCTTGTAGAAGCTCCATAGTACTTATTGAGACAGACAATAAACATGGAAAATCCTTTTGGGGTGCTCTTCAGTGGAAAGTATTGTTTTTTAATGTATTTCTATTGATATCAGAAAGGAAGGGAAAAGGAGAGATAGAAACATCAATGATGAGAGAGAATTATGGATTCAGCCACATCCCACACACACCCCAATGGGGATCTAGCCCACAAACTGAGCACCTGCCCCAACCAGGAATCAAACCCTGGCTTCCAGGTTCATAGGTGGACACAACCACCAAGCCACACTGGCCGGGAATTAAGTGGTAAGCATTTGATAAAGATGGCTTCTCACTCAAGGGCAGGTGGACCCATCACCACCAAAGTGTTTGTAGAGTGGGAATCCAGGGATGAACAAAGAAAAGTGGGGGCGGGGGCGGGGGAGAGGAGATAGACCCTCACCCAGGCAATCTTAGAGTGTGGGGGAGACTTAAGCTGACCACAGAGAGGTCTGCCCTTTCCCTTGGCTGCTGGGAGTGATCTCTAGGGTCCTAGATGCCCTGACTGGTAGCCATGTCATTGCTTGCCTGGCATTTGGCCCCTGGCCAGGCTGACAAGGTGATGTATGAAGGAGCCTTTGGGACATGTGGTATCAGTTCTGCTGATGAAGGAACTAGAGACTAAAGGCATTAGTTAGTCCTGCAGGCCGGAGGCTGCAGGTCAGATATGTGGGCAGCATGTGATCGCGCCCCAATAGCCCTCTGCACACTGAGACTGCCATATTTGCATCAGGCTCTTCTGAGCCCATATATTTAGTCCTCAGGTATGTGCCCTGACCAAGAATCAAACCAGCAACCCTTCAGTGTACAGGATGATGCTCAACCAACTGAGCCACGCTGGACAGGCAAGAATCCCCACACTTTTAATGTCTGATCACCTTGGATAGATCTCATCAAATTTCTCATCCCCCAACTTTGATGCATAAGTCCTTGCTTGACCTCTTAGGTTACTTTAGCAAGAATCCCCCTGGCCTGGATACCTCCTCTCAGTCATTTCCCATCCACCAACCCCCTCACTCTGCTGCCTGACTATAAATCCCCAGCTGCCTTTGCTGTTTTCAGAGTTGAGCCCAACCTCTCTCCTATTATGAGGGTCTTCCCATGCACCACATGGTCGTCCTGGGAAAGGTCTTCCTTACATTTTCAGTGTCAGAATAACTCCTTTCTACCTCAGGGTGAGCTTCCCTGGCTGGAGAGGCCGCATGGGCTTGTTGAATACAGGACGGTGGTGCGTCCTGAGGACAATGGAGGCCTCGCGGTTGAAACCTGCCCAGCCTTGGCCCCATGTACCTCTCCCTTTGGCTGACTGGGAACTGTGTCCTTCCCCGTAATAAACTGGGACTGTGGGCATGATCCTGATGTGGTTCAGGGAACCCCCAAAATATGCAGGTGGTATCGAAAGGGAGGGCAGTCTTGGGGGCTGTGCACTAAGGCTTTTCGTCTCAGCGATTCTGGGAACTGAAAATTGAACAACCAAAACCTCAGAGCTAGGAGGTAACTTACTAGTAATGATGATTGTGCCTGGCACCTGCTCTCTGCAAGCCTGATGCTCTTTGACCTTCCTGGCTGAAGGTCATTGGGTGCAGCCACTTTCCCAATTGACAGGGAAGCTGGGGATCTGCTACCAACCTTGACTCCCCTCAGACCCTCCACCAACCATCCAGCACCCCCACGTCTCAGGTGTCACCAGCCTAACTCACACCTTAGCTGCTGACAGCATCACATGGGAGCACACCAAGGCCATGTCCAACTTTGTGGAACCTCCTAAGACACAAGGCACTGTAAGAACCATGTTTGTGAATCACTAAGACTGAGACAACTAATTGGATGAGCTGGTGCAGGAAGCCCTGTCCTCTATGGTGGGAATGTGTGCGTCTACCCGGAATCCCTCAGATTACACCACATTGGCAGCCCCATTCTGACTGGAAGTGGTCACTAAGCCTCACTGCCTTCCCTCTGGTCAGGGTTACTCCATGGAGAAGAGAAGAGGGTCCCACAGGGAGGTCAGGAGCCCTCCAGCTCACAGACAGGGTTGGACGACATAATCACCCAGGGCCCTCTACCCCCAGCAGAGAGGGGATCAAATCAGGGAAGGAAGAAATGTGTCCTCCCACTTCCCCCGACCCCCGC